ATATATCGATCGCTGCCTGGTTCCTTCCTCGCGGCACACTACTTGTTCCTCGTTTAGACACCAAGATCATGTAAATCATTTCAATAGCGGCCATTTTGAAATTCAAGATGGTGGCCATATATCGATCGCTGCTGGGTTCCCTCCTAGTATCTTCCTAGCATCTCGGTTTTTTCGCGTTTTTTTTTTTACTTTAAAGAAAATTGACAATAAAACGTTTAGGGTCGGTCGGGAAACCGTAACCACACCTATATTTTGTTTTGGCCTGACCACATGTATTTATTCTTACAAAAGAAGATCAAATAGTGAAGCGGGAAGAAGGAGATATAGAAAGGAAGTGTGAGCGTAAGCCTGAGTGAGAAAAAGGGAAGGAAGAGGAAGAGAACAGGAAGGGGATAGCACCTAATCCACGTACGGACAGAGCGGGACTCAACGGAAGTCAAAAACAGGAAGGCAAACTGTAAGAGGAGGCAATGAGAATGGGCCGCACGACAGCGGATGACGATCCTCTTACGAAAAACATTTCTATTCAAGTAAAAAAAAAAACGGCGAAAAAACCGAGATGCTAGGAAGATGCTAGGAGAGAACCCAGCAGCGATCGATAGGTATCTGGCCACCATCTTGAATTTCAAAATGGCCGCTATTGAAATGATTTACATGATCTTGGTGTCTAAACGAGGAACAAGTAGTGCGCCGCGAGGAAGGAACCAGGCAGCGATCGATATATACGTATAATATATAATAATATATTTCCAAACATAAAAATTGCAAGACAAGAAACGAGCAATGAAAGGAATATCATTTAGTGTTTTGAATGAAACGAAAGGAACTTGGCATGGTGATTACATTTTTGTTTACATATGGGGCTTTACTGCTGCCTGCGGTTTATCTAGCATTGTGATTATATTAGTTTAAATCACCGTTTCCATGGTAACCGAAGAAATCACGATAAATGACAATCAAAGGAGCGTGCCGATAAAAATAAAACACGTCGCTGCTTTTTAGCGGGGCTGTATTAAGGTAGAATAAACATAACGCACAATATCACGTTTGACCGTCTGCCTGTACGCTGGTGCACGGAACCGCATTCACACTAATCGATAAGAAACAGCAATCTCCGGTAATGAAATGCCAAAATTTCACTTGGGAAGCACTGAGAAATAATACATTCTGATATATCAGCATCTAATACGTTCGGCACAACTATATATTATTTAAAAATTTAAATATTAAACTGATTTTTGTCAAATTTTTAATATATTATCAGCGCCGATTTTCGTTCATTTCAATGAACTTGCTTTCATTGCAAGTGAAAACAAGACAAACCTTGTAATGAATTAAACCCATTATTTCTGTTCGTTCGACATTTGTCGTGAAGCGAAGCAAAAGCAATAATCTCAGATGCGGGACATGGCCGATAATAAAAAAATAACCCGAAAATTAACTTTCATACAACTGCTACTAGTGAATATCATAGTAAACCCGCATTCATACCAAAACTAAAGAAAAAATGGCGGTCTATCAAAGAACTGCAATGGTGCGTGCGACGCATACGTGCATAAAACTGAAAAAGTCTTCCTTAATTGCACGGAAGAGACGAGACGCGCCCATCACGCATCGTTTAATCATGCGACTGGTAATTAATTATATCGTATAAATCATGATCGTTTTCATTGCGTACAGAACGAGCTCTTGCAGCAACGTTGTTATTAGTTGAAGTAACTCTTCGCAATTATATTGCGCTAAGATAAATCTCAGCGTATTTATAACGAGCAGATGGACCGCTTCGTTTATTGTAATATATAT